CACCGTCACCAGGGGTGGGGGGTAGGGAGACATTGTTTTGCGGCTTGACCGTCACCGGGGGTGGGGGCCTGAGCAACTTTTGAGCAGGCCTGGCTAATTTTTCATGGATTTTACGATAGGCCGTATAGTGGAAATCTAAATTTTCGAAAATCAGGAGTGGCTGGGTTTTCAAACTTATTTCCATCACTGTAAGAGTGGTGCGAGACTGCGATTGCCTTGTTATTAATGGATTCAAGATTGGTCATTTGGGTAATTTTATACAAGGATTGCCTATTGTGTATGATTTGCTGTGGGTGATCTAGCATGTATTATCTATTATCTGTGATCTGTCTTCTACGATCTATTATGTATGATATATGATGTATAAGCTGTCATGTATAATGTATAATGTGTGGTCTCATGTATATATTATCTATTATCTCTGATCTATCATGCAAATGATCTATCGTTAATGGTTCATCGTGTATAATATATCATGTGTGATGTGATATGTTATGCATACTCCATCATGTCTATGATCAATTATGTCTATGATCTATTATGTATATGATCTCATTCTGTCATGTATATTATATCATGTATGATCTAATAGCTGTGATCTACTATATATGACCCAACATGTATAATCAGTCATGCGTGACGTAACATGTGAAGTGATCTATCATGCATGATCGATAATATATATGATAACAATAACATAGCCGTGTGTAGTATTTGTAAGCAGGACCCGGTGACTGATAATCGTTTATTGATTATTGATTGCTGAACGATTCAGGTGACGGAAAAGGAGTACTCAACTTTGTCTGCCTGTGATATTCCGCCGCGGGATCGGTGGGGCGCAAGCTTCACCCGGTTCCCGTTCCTTCCTCGTTGCATGACAAGGGACGAGACACTAATGGTCAGTGAGCCTGCTTTGTTGGTTTTCTCTCACGCATAGCTTGAGCTCACGATGTTGCAGTGCATTAGGGCAGCATGTGGTTGCCGTGACTCATACTACTAGTTGTGACGGCAGGTGTAGATCCAGGAACTATGAAAGCAGGGTTGGTAAAAATAGAATGAATGAGACTAGACCATTCTGGATCCACACTAGACTCTCCTGGTTCCACACTAGATCCTTCTGGATCCACACTAGATCCTCCTGGATCCACACTAGACCCTCTTGGATCCACACTATATCATCCTGTGATCCACACTAAAAGAAAAAAATCCTCATACGATCCCACACTACACTTACACCTAGGGTCTTGCCCCAGGATCCCCCATATCATCTGTTTATGGATCGCGACCTAGCTGCTTGGCGGCCACAAGCATCAGGAAATACAACAGAATGCGGAATATCGGATGGGAATGTGGAGAAGAGAGTTCTGTAGAATGGAGCAGTTATATGTGTATTTGAGCATCCAGGAATACAACCAGAGATTGCGGAATATCGGAGGAAATTGTGGATGAGAGAGAGTCATGCTAGAATTTTTTTGAGAGTATTGTGGATGCGCATCAGGAATACAACAGAATGGGGAATATGCGGATGGGAAATTGTGGAGAGCAGAGTCTGTAGACGTCGAGAGTATATGTTGGATAGCATCGTAGGAATACAACAGAATGGCGAATAGTGGAGCGCGAAATTGTGGAGAGAGAATCCTGCGCTAGAATTTGGAGAGTATATGTGGATAGCATCAGGATACAACAGATATTGGGAATAGTTTGAGCGGGAATTGTCTGGAGAGAGAGCTCTGTTAGAATTGCAGAGTAATATGTGATAGACATCAGGAATACAACAGAATGCGAATAGTGGAGGGGAAATTGTGGAGTGGGAGGTCTAGAATTGACAGTATATGTTGGCATAGCACCAGTTAAGTACAACAGAATGGCGAATAGTTGGAGGGGAATTGTTGGAGAGAGAGTCTGTAGAATTTGAGAGTATATGATGGATAGCCATCAGCGAATACACAGAATGGGGAATAGTGGAGGGCGAATTGTGGAGAGAGAGTCTGTAGAATTGAGAGTATATGTGGATAGCATCAGGAATACAACAGGAATTGGAATAGTGGAGGGATAAATTTGGAGAGGAGAGTCTGTAGAATTTGTAGAGTATATGATGGCAATAGCATCAGGAATACAACAGAATGGGAATAGCGACGGAATAATTGTGCGTAGAGAGAGCGCCGTGAAACGAAAAGTAGGGGAGCGGAGTGGACAGTATCCGCAGTGGAATGCGGTGGTGGATGTTTCGCCTTGATTGGTGTGGGTTGCTAATTTACGCTATCTCTCGGCTCGAGTGCATGTTTGACGATGTTGAGGACATGGGTTTCCTACATGCGCTCAGGATCGAGAGAAACACGCTGGCCAGGTAGCATCGCGCGATCACGCTCGCAGCATTCACCTCCCCTCGTACGGGGTGACGCGATCACGCTCACAGCATCACCTCCCTCGTACACGTGGACGCGATCACGCTCGCAGGTCATCACCTCCCCTCGTACGCGTGACGCGATCACGCTCGCCGCATCACCTCCCCTCGTACACGTGACGCGATCACACTTCACAGCATCACCTCCCTCGTACGCGTGACGCGATCACGCTCGCAGCATCACCTCCCTCCGTACGCGCTTTGACACGATCACGCTTTCACAGCAATTCACCTCCCTCGTACGGCGTGACGCGATCCACGCTCGCAGCATTCACCTCCCTCGTACGCGTGACGCGATCACGCTCGCAGCATCACCTCCCTCGTACACGTGGACGCGCATCACACTCAACAGCATTCACCTCCCTCGTACGCGTTGGACTCCGATCACGCTGCCGGCCAGCATCCACCTCCCCTCGTCCAGCGCTGACACGCATCAACCGCTCCAGATCACCTCCCCTCGTATCGCGTGACGCGATCACGCTCGCCAGCATCAACCTTCCCCTCGTACGGTGCGCTGATCACGCTCGCAGCCATCACCTCCCCTCAAGCTAGGTTGACGCGGATTCACGCTCGCAGCATGCACCTTCCCTCGCTTATGCGTGGACGATTGCCGATCACTCGCAGCATCACCTCCCCTCGTACCCGCGCTGACCTCCACCGAGCGACGATCGCTCCGCGCATCTAGCTGCATTGTCGTGTTGCGCGCTGAAGCCATGAACCATGAACCATAACGCTGTTCATCGTGTGATGCTGTTGTGAGGCTGTGGTAAAAAGTTTGCGCCATATTTACGCAGATGCTAACAGCATCAGTACCAGCCTCATTCTCTTCTCGCTGGCATCGGATTTAGTTGTCTCAACGTTCTCTTTTATATTGATGACCTAAGCCCGTTCGAGAATAATTTGTCATTCCGTGGCTTTATATGCTCACTAACTTATTAAGTGGTCGTATCAGCAACTTTAGTGTTTCAGTTTGACTCTCAAGTTGTTCTGTGGCTAATAATGGTATTTTATAGCGTATTGGTAGTTTTCGTGATTGCGTCCTTCCTAAACATGAGTTTAATTGGAATATGTCTGTGCAACAGGTTCATAATAATGGTAAAGAAGGGCTACAGAGACGTCCCCTACCACAACTGGTACCATGCCTTTGCTGTCACGCACTTCTGCTACCTGCTGTATAAAAATCTCCCGTTAAATGATTACCTCACGTAAGTATGCTACCTGGTATATATATATATGGGATGTAATATAATAATATAAGTGTATATGGTCACTTATGCCGTCTGTGAGCCATTAATCGCTCGAACAATAAATCCATCGAAGAGCATAACACATTATTGTTAAATTCATCCCAAAAAAATGCTGTGAAGTGTAGTTTGCATAGATGTCTTACCAATATATTGGATGTCAGCCATTTTATACTGATCAGCAGGGTTTTTTTTATGTTGAAACTGGTTTCCCCGATATAAAGGTGTAATTAGTGTTCATATACGCATTACCATTTCTTGATTGCCACCTAATTTCGTTAATAGATTTTGGCACGTTGATATGAATTTTGGTTTATTTGCATACGATTTTGCATTCAGTCACTCTGGAATCACTGTGTAAATCTTACTCTGCACACAAATGATGTGAACATTGGAACTCAAGGCAGCATTTGTGTTGGGTTTATCTGATCCAAACATGTTCATGCACGCGGTGCTTGAATAGAACACTTATTTGATTAGACACATTATGGATTTTAGTGAAAAGCAGCGTTAAAGATCAAATATCAAAGAGTATAACAGAAAAGCAAGTATAAGGGTATTTAATAGAAAATAAGGACAAATAACCAAAAATCAATGTGATTTATCTCTGTTTGCATTAAATCTGTGTTGAAATTGTGAAGAATAAGTTATTTGTGTGGTAATGTAGTTACGCGTAATATGGTTTTGCATAGAAAATCTGGTTTCATTTTCTCCCAATCGTGTAGGTATTACAACTTTTAGTATTAAACATTGTGGCGCCACCTAGTGGAAAGGTACTATAGATAGTTTACAATGGCTGATAATGTGTCAGTTTATACTATAAAGTATCAATATTTTACTAAATTCACTTGCGGTAGGTGATGAGAGAAAAAGTGAAACATGAGTGGTGGATAGTAGAGCAATTTTTCAGATAATTCCCCAAATATGTCTTTGTTTACATGTAATATCATTCAATAATATACAACAGACATTTAATAATATATATTTTTGGCTTTAATTTGGAATAACATTCACGCGGATCTATTCTTTCTGTATTCTTTTACAGTGAGATGGAGATCTTTGCTCTGTTTGTAGCGTGTATGTGTCACGACCTGGACCACCGTGGTACGAACAACTCTTTCCAGGTACGACCCCTCCGATGCCTTCATTCTCATTGTGGCTTCACAAAAACCATAACCATGTTATAAAATATGATACATGTTACATTACATGATGTGTAACTGGCAATGTACAGTGCGTGATGAAACCAAAATGAGATAATCATATCCTATTTAACACTAGTGATTGCATTAAAATTATATTGGTAATTCTAAAGAATTTGTACGAAAATGTTACGTCTTCTCCTTGCGCACAGCCGTGATTCGTTCCTGTAGGTTACACCTGGGTTTTTTAATGCTGCTCAGGTACAATCGCAGTCCATCTTGGCAGCACTGTACAGTTCTGAGGGCTCTGTCATGGAGCAGCATCACTTTGCACAGGCGATGTGCATCATCAACATGCAAGGTTCCAACATCTTTGGAAATCTGTCCAGCAAGGTACAGGCATTTTCTCACCCACTGATTCTCAACTGATTTAATAGATGAAGTCCTAGGTGTGAGAGTGTTTAGCATTACTATTAAGTCTACCATAGCTAACTCAATTCAATTCAACTTAAAGAATTGGGAGAGGCAAAGCCATGTGTGGTATGTGTTGAAAATGAATTGAATGATTGTGAATTGAAAAACTATTGCGGTACTATTGTGATACTATTGATGTATTATTTAAATTGTGTATTTTATTTTTTATTGCATCAAGCTTTGCTATGGTTCACATTATTTATGAGGCGTGTGCCCTGTCATTCCACTCACATACTTCTGCATAGCCAGTGAGCTAGTTGAGTGGATCAGTCATAGATGACAGGGGGCAGTCTAATTATTTGCATCATTGAAGTGTCGGTAATAGATTTTAAGTGTACTTACGTGCGAAAATTTTTTTTTTTAGCAGTAATAACAAACTAATCTGGTCTTAACATTGCAACTATAAAAAACTATCGATTGTCCACTGAACCATCGGTGATAGTTATAGATGTTTGAATTTGCTATCAATGCATCGCTCTCGAGCCAAACCCTGTTTCGCTTGGTCGCTGGTTCTGTGCGTCGTTACACTGCTAGTCGTTTTGCTGCTTGCAGGAGTACCAGCAGGTGCTTGACCTGATGCGAGACATCATACTTGCTACCGACGTCTCTCACCACCTGCTCATCATGCCTGAGCTCGAGACAATGGCTGACGGTACGTGCATGCGTGTGTGAGTGCGTGCGTGCGTGCGTGCGTGCGTGCGTGCGTGCGTGAGTGCGTCGTGTGTGTACGCGTAGAATTCGCAAATTGAAGGCAATTGCTTCTCCTATTTTCACAGTTGGGCTTTGTATCTTGCACAGCTAAAAACTGCATCTTATTCAACAATTTCTCTAAAAAAATATGTGCGACACCATTCGTCCATGGTGTACCTGTACGATTCAGTAATGCTAGTCACGGTGTAGCTTGGAACATATTTTAGTCCGGACTATCGTACCAATATTTTGGTCTGGCAGAAATTACGAGAGGGCAAAGATTGAAATTGTTGTTGTTGTTGTTGTTGTTGTTGTTGCTGGTGGTTGTGGTTGTGGTGGTGGTGGTGGCAGCAACGGCGATGGCAGCACTATTAGCACATAGACACAACTGTAATGCGACCTTGCGTGTTTACGGCATTGGTGTTGCTACTGCAGAAGGATACCGTGGCAGTAGTGACAAGCATCACAACCTGCTCGTGTGCCTGCTGATGACCGCCTGTGACCTGTCCGACCAGACGAAAAGCTGGACGTCAACAAAGAAAATAGCCGTGAGTGTGTCGCAAATTTAACACCGACCTCGCGCGTGCAATATATATATATATATATATAGTCACACATCCGTCTGCTGATAGCAGTTTTATATATCCATCTAATATAGATATATGAACGTATGTATCAATCCCATGTAGATATATGGACATATATATCCAACCAATGTAGATATATAAACATATCCGTCCGATGCAGATGGTCGTATATATATATATATATATCCAATCAACTGCCAAGAACGTAAACCGCACAAGGTGCAAGCAAAATGAGTTCGCTACGCCCCCTGGTACGACAAATCGATGCGCGGCAGGTTTTGGCGACCTCCCTCCTCCACATCGTCTCATGCACGGCCGATGCCTTTGCTCTCGCTCCAGGAGCAAATCTACCACGAGTTCTTCAGCCAGGGCGACCTCGAGAAAGCGATGGGGAACAAGCCGGTCGACATGATGGACCGTGAGAAGGCCTTCATTCCCGAACTGCAGATCAACTTTCTCGAGCACATCGCCCTCCCTTGCTATAGGTGAGTCGTGTGGCTTCGCGGAGTCTGTGTCGGCGTCTCCGCGTTGCAGCGCGTGCTGTCGAGGCACGTTGCATCTAGCGTGCAGGTGTTGCATTGTTGTGTGTGAGCGGAAGCAGATGTCAGTGAGTGAGTACCTGTGTTAACCACTTTACCTGTATTGCTCGCCTGTTTTCATCTGCACTAGCCTGTATTAGCTCACCTGTATTTACATGCTCACCTGTATTAACTCACCTGTATTTACATGCTCACCTGTATTAACTCACCTGTAGTAACGTGCTCACCTGTACTTACATGCTCACCTGTATTAACTCACCTGTAGTAACGTGCTCACCTGTATTAGCTCACCGGTATTAACTCACCTGTAGTAATGTGCTCACCTGTACTTACATGCTCACCTGTATTAGCTCACCTGTACTTACATGCTCACCTGTTTTTAACTCACCTGGTAGTAACATTGTCACCTGTAGTTAACATGCTCACCTGTATTAACTCACCGTAGACATGCTCACTGTACTTACATTGGTCACCTGTCGTACACGTGCTCACCTGCTGAGCTTAACGTGCCCACCGGGTGTGTAACTGTGCTCACCTGTATTTACGTGCTCTACCTGTAGATCATTAACGTGCTCTCAACCATGTAGTAACTGCACTCACCTGTACTTTACATGCTCACCTGCTGTATTAGCTCACCTTGTAGATGTAACCGTGCCCTCACCCTGTAGTGACGTGCCTTCACCTGTATTAACATGCTCAACCGCTTAATTTACATGCTACCTGTATTTACATGCCTCACCTGATTTACATGCTCACCTGTTATTGTAAAATGCTCCC